AAGATAGCAGGAAGTCTTGCACCAACAGCGTCAAATCACATACGACTTTATTAAACCCGGACATGGCACACTGCAAGCCCCCCCAGCAACACATTTACTCAGTATAGGCTTGATCATTCGGTCGCATATCTGATCAAGTCCTTATTTTGTAGATCGTTAGAAGGGTGGGGCTTCAGTGTCTTGTGCTTTGGTTTAATAAAGTTGCATGTAATTTATTCTAACCTCATCAGTGTGGGACTTCTGCATCCTTATTAAAGTGTAATTAAAGGCAAGGTGTTTTGTTTTTGTTTTTTTGTTTTTTTTTGTGTGTGTTGGATAGCGTGGAGAAGGATTTGACCCTCTGTCAGTTTTTATTGCTGTCTGTGTCTCTATTAGGGAGATTCCCCCTCTGTATCCTGTTCATCATTTATCATTGAAAGTAAAAAATGCCAAATTTTCAGTTACCCCTGAAAAGTAATAGAAGGGAAATCTTCCAATAGGGATCACTTGTCCTGTTGGGGCGCGGGGGGGGCAAGGAATTCCCTTAATTTGCAGGGATTTTCTCACTTCCTGTTTTGGCTATGGGACAGGAAGTGAAGGAAAATCTCCGATAGCACACAGTTGGCAAAAAAACTTTCGGGGGTTATTACCTTCCTCTGCTGTATCCAAAATGAAAAAAATTCTAAGTACATAGAGAGTGACAACGCTGCGACGATTTCATTGCTAGGGATTCAGTGTGGTCACCCAGCTGAAGGAAATCCCTAGCACTGGCAGGATTAACTAGCATCATTTTTTTTTTTTTTTTTTTTTTTTTTTTTTTTTTTTTTCCTTCAAAGATTTAGAAAAACTGAAGTTTATTGTGTTTGCTTTATTTAATTGAGATGAGCCTGTAATAAATATAAATATATATATAATTTTTTTTTTTTCTTAAACAGAGCTGTTGTCAAACTAACTTGTCTGGGGTGTTTCCATTGTTTACAATATAAACTGTGTGTGTGTGTTGCCCCTCACTGTATGTTGTGTGCTTCTCTGCTGTTACATTGGATGGAGGAGTGGACTGTTGGGATCTGTGAGGATTCTGTTGTTACATTGGATGGAGGAGTTAGTCTCTGAGTGGAATAATACTCTTTCCGTACATTGGACGAGGATGGACTAGTTGGCATCGTGCAATACGACTCTTTACAGTTGATGTCTAGTGAGACTTTTTGGATCTGCAATGAATAATAATCAGTATTACATGGATGGAGGAGTGGACTCTACGTATTGGTGAGGACAATAGGTACACTAGATGGAGGAAAATCTAACATGTTGGATCTGTGATGACTCTGCTACATGGATGAGAATGGACTGTTGGGAATCTGTGATGATCCTGTTGTTACATTGGTTGAGGATGGACTGTTGGATCAGTGCGGAGGTGTTCCCCGTACATTGGATGGACTTGTTTGTTGGATCTGTGATGACTCCTGTTTACATTGGATGAGGAGTGACTGTTGGAATCTGTGATGACTCTCGTTACATTGTGATTGGAGGAGATGGACTGTTGGGATCTGTGAGTAACTCTGTTTTCTCTGGATGGAGGAGTGGCACGTGTTGGAATCTGTGATGAATTCTGTTTACACTTGCATGGAGGAGTGGACTGTTGGACTGTGAGGATTCTTACATTACATAGGATGAAGGAAGTGACTGTTGGGAACTGTGATGATCTCTGTTACATTGGATGGAGGAGTGGAACTGATTGGGGATCTGTGATGATTCTGTCTGTTTACAATTGGATGAGAGAGGTGGACTGTTGGGATCTGTGATGACTCTGTTACATTGGATTTAAGGAGTGGACTGTTGGGAATCTGTGATGACTCTGTTACAATTGGATGAGGAGTCGGACTGTTGGGATCTGTGATGACTCTGTTACAGTGGATGTGGAGATGACTGTTGTCTTGATGATTCTGTTACATTTCAATGGAGAGTGACTCTGTGGGATCTAGGATCTGTCTGTTACATTGTGATGAAGAGTGGACTGTTGTGATCACCACATGGTGAAAGACACACTGTTAAAACCCTCGTATGCGAGCGGTTTCAGTGAGACTTACTTTGATGACTGTGATGATTCTGTTACACATTGATAGGAGTGGACATGTTGGGACTCTGTGATGATCTCTGTTGATACATTTGATAGCCTGATCTCCAAGTTGTACGGGAAATGTCAATATAACCTGTCCTCTCTTCTCCTGGGTCAGATTACAGCGTAGACTGTTATATCCCATGGTGGAGTTGCCTGAGCGGTGTGTGAACTGTTAATGGGTTGTGTGTGAGCGTGTAATCTTAAAGTGGGACTTTAACAATTGGACCAAATACCAGCCCCCTCCCCCTGTGATACTCTGGCCTTGATAGGAGTGGACTCTTAGATTTCTTAGGACCCCTTGTTACCATTGATGACAGAGTGGACTCCTTTGGGATCTGCTGATGACTCTTTCCATCCTGCATGGACATGTGTGTAGTTAGGATCTGTGAAATTCTGTTACACTTCCCAGGATGGACTGTTTGGGATATATGTACCACACCACATGTTACCCCCAGTACCAGGACACAACACCTTCTGGATTCTTGATATTCTGTTACATCGGATGAGGAGAGATCTCCTTTCCCATACTCTCATAATATTACCCCCCTCCCCCCCTCCCCATCAGCACACTAACCCTTTCATCTGCGGATCATTCTTTTACATCCATGGACCATGCTGTTGGATCTGTTCCATGCTCTCAGTATCATCTGGATGGAGAGTGGACTGTTGATCTAGATGACTCTGTTACAATGGATGACACGAGTGGACCCTGTTCATCTGCTAGTGATTCCATGCTGATACATGTATGGAGATTGGCTGCTGGATCCTACTATTGACCCCCCCCAACAGGACACAGATGGACTGTTTGGGATCCTTTTCACTGAATCTGTTTACATTGATGGGAGGATGCCCCCTGTCTATCTGTGGATACCTCCGCCTACATACCTGGACCCCCACAAGCCCTAAACCCCTATTGGATCTGTTAATGCATATCCCCTACTATTTCCTTTCCCACCATCACACATCGACTGTGAATTCTGTTGTTACATTGCATGAAGGATGGACTGTTGGGATCTGTGATGACTCTGTTCACATTGATGGACCGAGTGACTCCTCACAAACCCCCACAAACTCACCACTTTACCTTGTGGCTAGTCGCTTCACCCGCTTCACCTGTTCTTGACTGACTCGTTCCATGGATGGAGTCAGTGTAGCCGTTGGGAATCTGGATTGTTTCTATTACACATCGGATCAGTAGTGTGCGACATTCTATTAATATCCTGGCAAACAGCTTGATTCTGTTACATTCTTAGGATGGACATGTTTCGATCATTGATAACCCAAGACACTCCGATGAGATTGGACTGTTGAATCAGTGATAAACAACACGGCCCGATGGAGTCCGGTGTCAGTGGGATTAACGTAGGGATCTGGATGATTTTCTGTTACATTGGATAAGCAAAGTTCACTGTTGGGACTGTGCTGATTTCTGTTGATTGTCACAATTAAAGCCGGATTCCTAGCGGATTTATCAGATATTAACGCATGTCCAACTCTCGTGCTCCTGCTGGGTATTTCCAGCGTAGCTTCCTTCCATGGATCATCTGCCTGACCGTGTAGCGATTCCCATCACAAGTGTTTCCCTGGGGAGCGTCTTATGTAAAGAACTACCCCCCAATCACCACTTTGTACACCCCTCCCGCTGATGTCATGGCCCTTCCCTGCTCTAATATATGTAACCCCCCCCACCATCACTTGATGCAACCTTTCACTCTGCTCTGTCAATCAATGATGTCCGGTCAAATAATTGTCATCTCCTGGCAACCACCCCATCACCACACCTACATCCATCGATTGTCAGACAGAAGCGTGAGAGATCTGTGTCCACTCACACAGAACACGTCTCCTCTGCTCTCATCAGTTCCAGTCTCCACCGGTGCTTCTTACACCAATCAGACACTAACGATGCTTTGCATTGCACTTGGTCTGATGGAAGGCATGGATGCAGTTTGCTCAGCTCACAATAGGATTACTGCCCTCCAATAAGACACGCTCTAACCCTTTCACTGCTTCCCTGTCCATCCTTTCCGCTCCACTCTCCTGATACGACACACCGCCAAGTCTTGGAGGTATCCTTTAGTCTATGTGAGCTTCAGCGACAGTCCTGGCGACCTTCTGCGCACTGTCATACGCTCCTCCCAGCATGGCGCATGAAAATAAAATAACCTCATCAGACTCTTCCTCTCCTGCATATCCCCTCTATTGTCCTACCCACGTCCATGAAAACACGAGTGGCCTGTGTTATCCGGCACATCCTGGCTTTCCTTCTCTGTTCCTTTCACTAATCGACCACTAATCAGTTGAGCCCACCAAAGGATTTATACTCCCAAATTGCACGAGTGTCTGTCCTTCCCTTCCTATTCACTCCTCTCACAGGATGGCCACCTAGTCTAGCCGGGACACCATAGACGCTTCTTGGAGTCACAGAAGCTCCTGCTCAGGTGAGCGTGTGCGCGCAGTCTCGGTTCAATCCAATGATCGTGTAAGAAGCAGGTCATCTGACGATTGCGCTACGGTTCAGGAGAGAAAGGTGTTCTGGGCATTGTTACCTGACGGGTCACGAGCGAGAGGCAGCTCCTACCGATATAGCGGTTATTGAAAGCGCTTGAATGTAAGGACCTGAACTTTCACAAGCCGCATGAAAATGCGCGGCTATGTGTTTTGATCTCGAGTGAAGCACACAGAACACCTGAGATCACAGATATGGCCACGTACGAAATTAGTGGACACCTGAGTTATCAGAGCATGATGACGTGGTGCTGGATGTGAAAAATGTAGAGGACAATTTAGAGGAGATTTGGCAACCATGTTGATTCTTCTCAGTGATCGCGTAGGGGATATGGTGTCGTTGTGACACTTAATGTTGACATCACATCAGAATTTTTAGGCGACTCTCTTATACGCTGTGCAAGATCAGCAGAAGATTGGGAGGGGAGGGGTGGAACGCTACTGAGGTTCAAATGATTCAAGTTTAATGTTTTTTATTTTTTTTGGTTTTTGTACAGCTGAATGGACATTTTGTAATTGGTAGGGGATTTTTCACCCAGACTGATTATGTAACCATGATTGACCACTTAGCCCAATTGGCACTACCTGAAGTCAGCAAGTCATTGATCTCCTGGTCGTTGTGCCACGCCTGACACACTTCACATCGATTGTCAGAGAAGTGTGATTGGTCACGCCAATATACACGTCTCCTCTGATCAAGTCCAGTGCACCGTGCTAGTTACACAACAGCATCCGATGCTACCATTGCAACTAAGTGAAGGAAATGCTTACATGCAAATAAAACTAAAGCCATGGAAACCCATTCACTAGTTTAAAATCTCTACAGAACTGTCGGATAAAGAGCTCATCTGAAGCCATACCAAACCATGAGGTCAAAGCTATGTGACTACTGCAGACAGTATGGCACTATATGAAAAATAAGAAGCCTAAATGCATAACGCTGACCCTGAATCACATGATTGGGAGGGAGATTGGAACGCTGGAAACACAACCCTTTTTTTGTTAGCTGATTGAGAACGCGTGAAACATGGCATTATAGGACTTTGATTGGAATCGCCACTAATCACATGAAATGTGGAGTAGATGGAACGACCATGAATATCCACGGATATTGGACTTATTGCCCAGGATGGAACGCCTGAATCTACAGATTGGCGGAGGGGCTTGGAACGTCACTTAACTCACACATGATTAGGGAGGGGATTTGAACCCACTCTTTCACCAATGATTGTAGAAAAGCAGTCTAGCTATGCCTAGCGGCTTGACTGTATACACCTGAGGCCATGGAGGGGATGGAACACCACTGAATCACATGATTGGAGGGGATTGGTACACCTGAAACACATGATATGGAGGGGATTGGGACACCTGAAATCACATGATTTGGGAGGGGATTGGTGACACCTGAATCACATGATTGGGACGGGGATTGGACGGCCTGAATCACATTGATTGGGAGGGATTGTAACGCCTAATCACATGATTGGGAGGGATTGGGAACGCCTGAATCACATGATTGGGAGGGGATTGGAACACCCGTGAATCACATGATTGGTGAGGGGATTGGAACACACCTTGAATCACATGATTGTGAGGTGATTGGAATATAACCTGAATCACAAGAGTTGGGAGGGAAGTGGAACGCCTGAATCACATGATTGGAGGGGATTGGAACGCCTGAATCCACATGATTGGGAGGTGATTGGAACGCCTGAATCACATTATTGGGAGGGGATTGGAACGCCTGAATCACATGATTGACGGAGGGAGATTGGAACGCCTGAATCACATGATTTGGGAGGGAATTGGAACGCCTGAATCACATGATTGGGAGGGGATTGGAACGCCGTGAATCACATGATTGGGAGGGATTGGAACGCCCTGAATCACATGATGAGTGAGGTGATTGAACGCCTGAATCACAGAGAATTGGAGGGATTGGAAACGCCTGAATCACATGATTGGGAGGGGATTGGAACGCCTGAATCACATGATTGGGAGGGATTGGGAACGCCTGCCTGAATCACATGATTGGGAAGGGGATTGGAACGCCTGAATCACATGATTGGGAGTAGAGATTGGAAACGCCTGAATCACATGATATTGGGAGCGGGATTGGAACGCCTGAATCACATGAATTGGGAGGGGATTGGAACGCCTGAATCACATGATTAGGGAGTGGGATTGGAATCCGCCTGAATCACAAGAATTGGGAGGGATTGGACTCCTGAATCACATGATTGGGAGGGATTGGAACGCCTGAATCACATGATTGGGAGATTGGGATAATGGAACGCCTGAATCACATGATTTGGGAGGGGATTGGAACGCCTGAATCACATGATTGGGAGGGGTATTGGAACGCCTGAATCACAAATGATTTGGGAGGGATTGGGAACGCCTGAATCACATGATTGGGAGCGGATTGGAACGCCTGAATCTACACTGATTGGTAGGGGGATTGGAACGCCTGAATCACATGATTGGGAGGGGGATTGGAACGCCTGAATCACATGAAAATGGGAGGGGAAATTGGAACGCCTGAATCACATATTGGGGAGGGGATTGGAAACGCCTCTGAATCACATGATTGGGAGGGGATTGGAACGCTGAATCACATGATTGGATGTCTTCTAGGATTGGGACGCCTGAATCACATGATAGATTGGGAGGGGATTGGGACGCCCTGAATCACATGATTGGGGAGGGGATGGGACTACCTGAATCACATGATTAGGCGAGGGGATTGGGACGCCTGAATCACATGATTGGGAGGGGATTGGGACGCCTGAATCACATGATTGGAGAGGGATTGGGACGCCCTGAATCACATGATTGGGAGGGATTGGACGCCTGAAATCACATGATTGGGATGGGATTGGGACGCCATGAATCACATGATTCGGAGGGGATTGGTAGACGCCCTGAAATCACATGATTGGGAGGGGATTGGGACGCCTGAATCACATGATTGGAGGGGATTTGGGGACGCCTGAATCACATGATTGGGAGGGGATTGGCGGACCGCCCCCGCCTGAATCACATGATTTGGGAGGGGATTGGGACGCCTGAATCACATGATTGGGAGGGAGATTGATTGGACGCCTGAATCACATGATGATGGGAGGGGATGGACGCTGCTGAATCTCACATGATTGGGAGGTTGATTGGGACGCCTGAATCACTATGATTGGGAGGGGGATTGGACGCCTGAATCACATGATTGGGAGAGGGGATTGGGACGCCTGAATCTACATGATTGGGAGGGGATTGGACGCCTGAATCACAATGATTGGGAGGGGATTGGGACGCCTCTGAATCACATGATTGGTGGAGTGTAATTGGGTACGCCTGAATCACATGATTGGTAGGGGATATGGGGACGCCTGAATCACATGATTGGGAGGGATTGGGACGCCCTGGAATCACATGATTTGGGAGGGGATTGGGACGCCTGAATCACATGATTGGGAGGGGATTGGGACGCCTTGAATCACATGATTGGGAGGGATTGGACGCCTGAATCACATGATTTGGGAGGGTATTGGGACGCCTGATCACATGATTGGTTGAGGGGATTGGGACTCCTGAATCTCATGATTGGGGAGGTATTGGGACGCCTGAATCACATGATTGGAGGGGATTGAGGACGCCTGAATCGACATGATTGGGAGGGGATTGGGACGCCTGAATCACATGATTGGGAGGGAGTGGATATTGGGACGCCTGAATCACATGATTGGGAGGGGATTGGGACAGCCTGAATCACATGATATGGAGGGGCTTGGGACGCCTGTAATCACATGATATGGAGGGGATTGGGACGCCTGAATCACAAGATATGGGAGGGGATTGGGACGCCTGAATCTCGACGCGATATGGGAGGGGGATTGGGACGCCCTGAATATCACATGATTGGAGGGATTGGGACGCCTGAATCACATGATTGGAGGGGATTGGGGACGCCTTGAATCACATGATTGGAGGGGATTGGAACGCCTGAATCACATGATTGGATGGGATTGGGACGCCTGAATCACATGATTGGAGGGTATTGTGGACGCCTGAATCACATGATTGGGAGGGGATTGGGAACGCCTGAATCACATGATTGGGAGGGGATTGGGACGCCTGAATCACAATGATATAGGTAGGGGATTGGGACGCCTGAATCCACATGATTGGAGGGGATTGAGGACGCCTGAATCACATGATTGGAGGGGATTGGGACGCCTGAATCACATGATTGGGAGGGGATTGGGACGCCTGGAATCACATGATTATGTGAGGGGATTGGGGTACGCTGAATCACATGATTGGAGGGGATTGGGACGCCTCCTGAATCCACATTGATTGGAGGGGGATTGGGACGCCTGAATCACATGATATGGGAGGGGATTGGGACGCCCTGAATCACATGATTGGAGGGGATTGGGACGCCTGCATCACATTGATTTGGAGGGATTGGGACTCCTGAATCACAAGATTATGGGAGGGATTGGTACGCCTGAATCACATGATTGGGAATGGGATTGGGACGCCTGAATCACAATGATAGGGAGGGATTGGGACGCCTGAATCACATGATTGGGAGGGATTGGGACGCCTGAATCACAATGATTGGGAGGGATTGGGAGCCCTGAATCACATAGATTGGGAGGGGATTGGGACGCCTGAATCACACTGATTGGGTAGGGGATTGGGACGCCTGAATCACAATGATTGGGAGGGGATTGGGACGCCTGAATCACATGATTGGGAGGGATTGGGACGCCTGAATCACAATGATTGGGAGGGGGGATTGGGACGCCTGAATCACATGATTGGAGGGGATTGGGTACGCCTCTGAATCACATGATTGGAGGGGATTGGACGCCTGAATCACATGATTGGTGAGGTGGATTGGGGACGCCTAGGAATCACATGATTGGGTAGGGGGATTGGGACGCCTGAATCACATGATTGGGAGGGTGATAGGGACGCCTGAATCACAAGATTGGGAGGGGATTGGGACGCTGAATCACAGACGTATGGAGGGGATTGGGGTCGCCTGAATCACATGATATGGAGAGGGATTGGGACGCCTGAATCACAACGATATTAGGAGGGGAAGGTTCTGGACGCCTGAATCACACGATATGGAGGGGGATTGGGGACGCCTGAATCACACGATAGTGAGGGGATTGGGACGCCTGAATCACACGATATGGGAGGGGATTGGGACGCCTGAATCACACGATAATGGAGGGGATTGGACGCCTGAATCACACGATATGGAGAGGGATTGGGACGCCTGAATCACACGATTATGGAGGGGATTGGGAACGCCTGAATCACACGTATGGGGGGATTGGGACGCCTGAATCACACGCATATGGGAGGTGGATTGGACGCCTGAATCACACGATTGGGAGGGATTGGGCACGCCTGAATCACACGATATGGAGGGGATTGGGACGCCTGAATCAACACGATATGGGAGGGGATTGGGACGCCTGAATCACACGATATGGAGGAACGATTGGGACGCCTGAATCACACGATAAGGAGGGGATTGGACGCCTGAATCACACGATCTGGAGAGGGATTGGGACGCGCCTGAATCACACGATATGGAGGGGATTGGGACGCCTGAATCACACTACGACTAATGGAGGGGGATTGGACGCCTGAATCACAATGACGATAAGGAGGGGATTGGGACGCCTGAATCACACGATATGGAGGGGATTGGGACGCCTGAATCACACGATATGGGAGGGGATTGGGACGCCTGAATTCACACAACGATATGGCTGAATGGAGGGGAATTGGGACGCCTGAATCACACGATAATGGGAGGGGATTGGGAAAGCCTGAATCACAACGGATGGGAGGGGATTGGGACCGCCTGAATCACAATCGATTGGGAGGGGATTGGGACGCCTGAATCACACGATTGGGAGGGCGATTGGGAAGACTGGAATCACACGATTGGGAGGGAGATTG